TTTCACACATGAAATGGCACCTCTGAGTCCAGATCCAGATCATCAAAGTCTTTGGGATTTGCTAGAGTAGACTTTAAAGAGTATTGCATTGTTGTGTACTCTTGTATTGTCAATTTGATCTAGCTGTCGATCATAATATGTAATCATAACACTTGCTCTTCCGAATGACAATGTTCTGAGTTCCGCACAGGTTCCACACATAAATAACTAAAAGAAACGTCTCTACATATGAAACATGAAGCCAAATAAATACGTGATTAACAAGATATACTGTATGTATGTATATATACAGTATATGTCAAGGTTCCTTGATTACTTGATTACAAAATACTAGGATGTAGGGGCTTCGAGAGCAGAGCAGTAGACTGAGTATATGAATGTTTTCCTCTTGGATTTCCTCAAGAGTTGTAATTCAGCTGTGAGTCTATGAGGTCAGAAGGTTTGTTGTGAATCTCACTGCTATGGTGATCATACTGTCCACCTCTCACTGTTTGATAAACACACACTCACACGCAACATTCTTACATTAAACTTAGCTCAGCTCTAATTTGAGAAGGTTAGATCAGCAACAAATTCTACTTCAAAGTTATAAAACGTATCCTGTATTATTTACATGCAGTGGTCCAGAGCCGTGTCAAATTTACACACACACACACACACACACATAGACACACAGGAATCTTACTCCGCTTGCAGCCCTGAGCATGTTCTGGCAATAAAATGATTGCTCAATAGTCAGATGTCAAGAAATACAAGAGTGATTCCCAGGCATGATAACACATTTGTAAAACACATACAATCTAAATCTATTCTTTCTCTATTTCATCATCTCTTTCTTTTCTTGTCTCTCTCTCAATAAAGAGAAAGTCTCTTCTCTCTGAAAGTCTGTCTTGATTCAGCCAGAGAGGAAAAGTGACTTAAATGAACACAAACGACTACTAAAGTTATCAAAGTGAGTTAATCTCTAAAATCCTGTACAATAATATAAAGCAGAAAGAAAAAGGTAAAAACAATTAGCAGGCAAAGTCATCTAGCACAAGAGGGGCAACAAGTAGGGGAAAATTCATGAAAGATGAAAGAGTGGAGAAAAACTATATAGAAACGTTAAAAAAAAGAGTCAAAGAGCTAATCACAAGCCTGCCGATTATCAAGCTCATTTTTGTGGAGAAAAAAGAAAATATCAGTATGTTAACTTTCACCAAAGTTATTCATTTACATGAATAATGCATGGAATTGCAATGTTAGGATCATTTCAAAATATGTAAATACATTATGACACTATGTATGTTGGTATAGGTCATACGTTAGTTCCTTAGCCTGAAAAAGGTTAAAGACCCCATCTGCAATTAAACAAATGAAGGAGGATGGACTTAGAGTAGGAGGAGAGAGAGAGAGAGAGAGAGAGAGAGCAGGAAAAGTCTCAGGACCTTCTTCATCATCACTGAGGCCTCCAAACCCCAGCTGGAGCTCATTATAGCAAGACTTCCTCCGACACACACACACACACACAAAACACACACATGAGAGTCTATCTGATATCGAAACGCATGCATTAGAGAGTATTTGGGTATTTCTATGCTGTCTAGAATGTTAAAACCATTTTAAACTTTAAACTGAGAAAGCACAATTGCCAATTGTTGACAGCACAAGGTTTTTGTGAAACCTTGAGAAAATACTCAATTGTGTATTTTATGCACAACAAGTATTATTTTTTTCATTTATAGTATTAACTGTTAATGTTACATTTGAATTTCCAAACCAATATTTACGAAATGTCCTGATAGTAAAATCCACTAAAGTCTGAAGAGATTTTAAAACGCTATAGGCATCGTACACTTAAAGACAGAGGATCAACACACTTCATCAGACTTTTAAGTGCATGGTTCAGAACACAACAAACTCATACAGAAACATGTGCCTCACTGCTAGGAGACACGAGACAATTGAAAACAATATGTGTTCTAAAATTTGCTGAAAATATCCTCCTGTTGGATGGAATCAGAATCTGAAGCTAAAAATAGTCTGTGCCCATCATACACAATTTTCAATGAAATCTGTCAACTCCAAGTGGCCAAAATCTGCAGACTGCCTCTGACTTTCAGCAACTATTCCCGACTGTAAATCATGGCAAAAGTTGTGTTTCAAAATTCCAGCCTTAAACAAAACACAAGTGATTACTAGTTAAGAATCGATTAGTTAAGAATTTTCTGACACAGGAGAGATTTTCATGAACTTAGCCTAAATCCTGAAGCATTTGTTTTAAAAGGATACTTAATTTTATTGATGGATAAGGAGTGAATGAAAACACATTAACACATGTGGGCAATCACCCAAACTTGTTAAAGTAAATTCTGTCTTTCTCTCCCTGCTGATACTCACTGCTTTCCAGGCATCCCAGCACAACTGAAAATGACCCCACCTCTCTCTCTCTCTCTCTCTCTGGACAGTGGTGATGTTTTAGACATCAGCTCATTGACTCAGTGGGATTTCTAAGGAAGTATCACACCCATCTCAGATAAAAAGCAGTTGTTGCTCTTTTTTGGGGGCTTTGCACAGTATGTGTGGGGGTGGGTAGAGTGTGACTCCATCATCCTACTTGACAACCCCATGCACACTACATAATCACTACACTCAGTTATACACGCACAGAAAAGTGTGCCAAACACAATGGCCTAATACACTGTGTAAAGCTTTTTCCAGCCAAACCCAAATCCAGTGTGTGACTCCTGCATTCAGAGCAGTCCATCTGGAACTGATCCGCCAGCTTCTTATGTTCATAACGTCTGTGTGTGTATGTGTTTGTGTGTGTTATTATGAGTGGTGGTGGGTTGCTCCATCCATAGTTATTTGAGCTCCCTGAGTACAGTCATTGTTAGAACACCAAATTTAACATTTTTTTTTTTTTTGCGATTTCCAGTGGGGCAAGAGAGCACTTGTTTGGGTCAAAATGAAACTGACAATATTACCAGAGTGACTTATAGATCTTATGAGTGAATATGAAAGTTGGGTGGTAAAGTGTGAGAGAGTCATTGAGTAAATGTACATGTGCAGTTATGTCGTACAGCTTTTTTTTTTTTACATAGTTGAGATACAGTTTTCATCTGTTTCAAGTATACATGACGGACATTACATTGTGCATTACAATGTGAAACCAAATATTTGAAAGATTTAATACACATTGCATGATGGAAAGACTACTCGAAATCGAATGCATTCAATGAACACTTTACAATCCCATGAGGCCACACTGTAAAAATGACTATGCTTTATCTAATCAATAGAATTGTGGCAATGGATTACAAGCAATATTATTAATTAAATTTAACAAATTAGAATTGAGTAATAATTAATCAAACTATTCATTAAAAGTTAACATGAGTAAAGTTTACCCAAAAAATGTAACAAAAATATCTCACTAACAGACAGACGTCAAAGATTAATTAAGAACTCTTTATTTTATATTGCCAACATTGAAGACACCTGATGTTAACAAGCAGAATCACTGAAGGAGAAAATCGTAATTTTAAAACAAACCTAAAATAAACACCGATCATGTTTTTTTGGTTGTTGTTGTGAGTTTTACTCATTTTAAATGGTTAACTTTTAAGGAATTAATTATTTTTTTGATTAGATAAAGCACATATTTATTTTTACAGTGCATGGGAGAGGATTTATGAATGGAGAAGAAGTAACCGAATGAACTCAACTGACGCTGGTAGGTCACATGATAATGACAACATGAGACCTGTAGTACATCCAGGTTCATTCATACTACACACATTCATACTATACAGAAAGTACCTTGTTTAACCGTAGGGAAGTAAATTCAAATTCAAATGTAGTACTTGCTCAGACCATACACGATTTCAGACTCAGCAAAAGCCAAACTATAGTTGCATTATCAAGGTCCTCTGACTGTCCTTATTATGACTTCAGAGGCTTCTAGAACAAGATTTTATTTTATTGTTCTAAAAAGGGATTTTTTGGGATAATGGCTGTGATTTTAAGTGACAGCAGGTTTCTGGAAGAGTTGGATTATTGTCCCGCCCTCATGCCGGTGAATGTCATCAGAGAAGAGATGTGAGATTTAGAGGGAAAGTTAATTAAAGATTATGATGGCACATTAATTAAAAAGATTATGTTGAACACTGATAAATAATGTTTATTTAAAAATACATTATTCCTTTAAAACAATTATTGTAGTTAAAGATCAGTTACTGCTTTAGTCACAACTGAAGTGCATGTAAGTGTACTTGGTAGTTGAGTTGCATTTTAAAGATAGGACGGCTGGGGAGGAACACACTCACTCTGTTGTTTGGTCAGTGAGTCGTTGCATGCTGACTTCTACTGTCACAGGGACCAAACAAAAAAGTTTTGTTCTTGCAGGAGCTGAACAGAATTCCCCACATCCCCCTCATTATGTCCTGTTCACTCCCTGTTTCCATCTGTGTCTCAAACACTCCTACTTCTTCAGGCCTGACACCCTGTAAAGCTGCTGAATGGTGACCAGAGCACCATTCTGTTTTTAAATGTCGCTATTACTAGCTAATATTGTTTCATATTAAAACTATAGATCAATGCTATATCAATCTATTCATAAATCAATGCAAGTCTAAGAGAAATGCACAATTTCACCCTCTCTTTTTTATTTTTTTCTTCTCTGCCCTTTCTTCTCCTCCTACCTGTCAAAAATAGATTTGATTTTATCTGATTCCTTGAGAATACCAGATTAGGCCCATGTCGTAACACAAACCACTCATAAAAACAATGTCCATTCCTGAACTAAGACAGGAAGGGAGTCATTTGTAGGATTGCATGTCCCATAAGCCTTTGTTGATGCTGACAAGCTGTTATCAAACCCTCCCTGACCTGCCCCTCTGGGAACAATGTTACTTCCTGTTGCATTTTCCTGTCTTCAAAAGAGGGAATTTTAGAAACCAAAGTGTCAAGCAAAAACTGAGAGTACATGGATGGTACAAAAAGTAGCAAGTGTGATTTACCTGAATCTTTTCCTTACAACTTCTCAATTCCTCCTTCATCTTCTCCCTCTCCACCAGAAAACATTGTAACAGATCTGAAAAACAAAAATGTGATTTTAAATATTTATCAAATTATAAATTATACAGGTATGTGCTAAGAACATAGTAAAGTGTGTAGGTTTGCAGCAGTGGTAAAATCTTGTATTGTTTACCTGGTCGAGGTTGATATGGGATTTAGAAAGTAATTAGTAATAAGAAATGCAATACTTTTTAAAAAGAGTAATTAGTACAGTAATCTAATCACACTGTTGAAGACGAGTAACTTTCCTAATACTGTGCGCGGACCACTTCCTAAAAATGTTTGCGGTTCATTATGTGTATGCTCTAATTTATGAATGGATCAGTGGACATAACATGACTGTCTGACTCACCATTCAGAATGTGTGTAGATTCTTCAGTGTTGTTGAGCTGCAGTGTGTTCAAACACTCCTGGAGGAGTTTTGCGTCCACTTCTGTGTCTCCATGCACACACACACACGACGAATGAGATAGCAGACTAGGTACTTCAGTCATCTCACATTCTTTAGCTTCTTTTGGAGACCCCGTCCTGCAGTCCAAAAGTGAATCATTCTGATTGGTGGAGATGAGTGGCGGACTGAGAGCATCTTGAGGCGTTTCTGGGGTGGCTGTGCTTGTGCAGTTGGAAATGGACACCAGCTGAGATGTAGGTGACAAAGTAGAAACAAGACTGTATGGCGAGGTGGGAGGTGTTTCATACATGTCCACACCAGTACCTGCAGAGAGACAGAGGAGGAGCTCTCAGAATACTTTAATGAAACATTACCTTACATAATAACTTGAGTGCATACATTAGTCTGTCACAGAAATGAAACTTTATTTCCGTTATTCATGGGATGTTCAGCATGTGAGATTTCAGGGGACAAGAATTATGTGACTATCATATACAGTATACAGATTTGACTACCAAGTACAGATTTTTTTGTCTCTCCATTTGGATAAATGACACTACTATCACTGATTTTTTCACATTTTTTTCTTGTTTTCTAGCAAAATATATCTAAAGATCCATTAAAAGAAAGAAAGAAGATTTTTTTTCTAAATTAAATTATTTTTAAATAATAAATAAAATAAAAATAAATAATAATCCTTTGTAAATAATTTATATATGAATTATCGTTCTGCCCCTTTTCTCAGTAAACAATAATTCTGTATACAGCAAATATTATTTTTCCTTTGTTTGCACATTATATTGTAAATCTGTGGAATGGCTTTAGATTTTGTATTTGTACAATGTAGTCCAATGACTACAATATGATTGTCCTTATTATTTTTTATTGCTATTCAACATTGCTATATTTTATTGCTATATTTTATTGCTGCACAACAATAAATACCTGTCCAAAGATTTATTGTATTCTAAAATGACAAACTGGGTACGATCAGTGAGGTCAGATTTAAACCACTATCAGAGTGATTTAAACCACTCATACTCATACTCGGGTTAGAGTATGAGTAAATGATTTTCAATAATTATGTGAACTAATCATTTAGGGAAATGTTTAATTTTCTAAAATAGGCAGGTTTCACTATTTTCCTTTTCTGAATACAAACCAACAGGAGCAGATTAGATTGAATGTGTGTGAGTAGGTGAGTAGGCTTCTTCATTAAAAAGCGTTTGTCGTCTCCAATAACAGGGAAGAATGTACAATACAGTATGCCAATAATGACTCTCTCTCTCTAATACATTAAATAACTGTTCTGCATTTCTTTATTTCACAATAGTTTACAGTCACGTGTCTAGAAACACTTTACATAGCACTCTTTCCTCCTGTATTGCTTTATTTTTTGTTTCTATATCTCTCTGTCTCTGCATGCTGTGATTTTATCTCTTGTGAAAAATGCCTCTGTTGGTCCCAGCCCCTTGAGGGTTATTGCCTCAGATCTAAATACAACACGGGGAAATTCAAATATGTGTGTGTGTGTGTGTGTTTGTTATCAAAATCTAGTTACCTGAAGATCCATGTCGTTCTTTTCCAGAGTTATTCCCCATGTTACCAACAGCCTTTTCAGTCTATTGAATGAGTCAAAAAATGAATTATACACATCATTTATTTTCTTGGTTACACTTTATTTCAATGATCCACTTTAGACATTCTACTTGTGTAACTTTGCAATGACATGTCAACTAACTAACTAATTAGTAGACTGTCGTAGACTGTTAGGTTAGGGTTAGATATTCGGGTCAGTATGTTAAGAGTTGCCCAGGTCTGCGCCACAAAAAAAGTCCAATGGGGAATTAACCTTCACCTTAAATTAGCCAACTGACCCACTCTTTATTCAATATCCAAATAACAGTGGTGCCGGCTCATAACAATAACTCAAAAAAAAATATATATATATAACAAGATTGTACATTATTATCTCTCTTACTCCTCTTCCAGGTCTCTGAGAAATTCAGAAAGCTCTCCAACAACTGGTAGAGCAATTTGAATGAGGTTTGTGGTAAAGTTTGCATGAAAATGCAAAAGCCTATTGACAGCACTTGCTATTAGCCTACATTGAGGTAGAACAAATAATTAGGGAACACCATGGATTGTTGTAAGACATTTGGTTTCGATGTAATTAAAAAAAACAGCATATAGAATATAAAATGCTGTACTCTGCAGCTTTTTCCTCTTTGTCACCATCTCTGTTCAAAATCTGCAATTGTAGTCACATGCGGAATTATCAACTTTACGTGGGTTGTACCTCGGCACAGTGCGGACGAATCCAATTGAGGCTGCCAGTCACCGCAACAGTGTGGATACGGTGGATGCTGTCATAGAATCAGATTCTACTTTTTGGATGTGATAATGCATTGATCATGGCCAAAATACACAGCAGTTTTACCCTAAAAAACGCATTGATATATCTATTGTGTTTTAAACTGTCAATCAAATAACCAATCAATTTAAAATGAAAACAAATGTCCAAAAATTAACTTGTTGCCCAATTAACTACAAAAACAATGATGAACCAAAAGTTATATAATATATTAATGAATAAAATAAGCTTATTGACAGGGCTTTTCTCTTAAATTAATTTGAAAACGAAACCAATGCCAACGAACTTAGTAGCATATCTGTAACAAGTTACAGCCGCGTGCGTCAAACGCTGCCAGTGTGAAAGCAAAGCAAACCGACGTTCACAAAATAACTTTAGGGTAAGTAGTATAAATTACGGCGATATACGCTACTAACAACAACAATAACGTACATTGTTATTAATATATAATATCTTGTAGTGTAATTAATTAATATGATTGTATTTTATAACAAAAACTGATAGAAAACATGAATAAATAATCGGTTCACCTTTTTGAAAAATTCTAATGGGTTAAAAACTGTTAACTGTTGCTACCCAGTGTTGCAACAATCTCCGGCCTCTTATACTTCAAGTTTAACGAACAAGCAACTTTAAACCATGAGAATAAAGTCTATCAATAACATATTTAAACCAAGATAATAAAACAAGAAAATAACATAGATTACACGGACAGCGAGCATCACCATCTGTAGAAAAGGACCGCAAATCATACTTATATGAATAAATCATATATAAAAACAACTAAACGATAGAGAAAACTAATGAATCGTTTATGTTACACACCTTATTGAAGGTCTTGTGTTCACCGGGACTGACGGGGAAGTTTTACATGCTGTCGCTGGTAGAGTCGCACCTCTTCACGGACACGAACGGGAGCGGATCATGGGCAGAGACAGCAGGATGTGGGAATGAACTTTGAAGCTCGGTTAAAAACGGTCCTTTTGCCCCCTCATGAGGACTGAGCAGTACTACTACTATAAAAAAAAATAATAATTATGATCTTACTGTCCTCAGCTTTAGAAGGACCGACAACTCACAAATAAACAACTCGCGGTTATAACACGTTCCGCCAGGATTCAGTAGGCTATTCCCTCACTAACATCCACAGGGTTTATGGTTACTCTGAGGTGTGACTTATATTAACGAATACTACAGGAAGCCTGTCAGTTTCATATCCTCTGACCTGATTATAATTTAAAAACTTGAGCACTGAGCAACAGAAGGTTAAGATTGTTGTTTAACCCTTGTGTTCATATTTTTGTTATTCAGCCAGTGTTCGTGGGTCTGGTGGGCCCGCTGCATTTTGAGGTTTTTAATTCAACACAATCAAACAATTTTATGTTAACTTATCTGACCTGTAATGTAATACTGCAATGACTTCAAGGCAATAAGCTGAAGTGATTTATTAATAAAATAATGTATCACAGTATATATAAAATAAACTATAGACCATACAAGTCAATAGCTTTTAAATAAAAAGGCCAAGAAAATTAGGTTAATTCTTTATTTGCATATAAAATGTAAATGTGTACACAGCTAAATTTACACAATAGTTTGCATTTCTTGTTTTTAAGATAGAGTTATCAAGACTGCAGCCATATAAAAACTAAAATAAGCATTGAAAAACATTAATAACAAAATATATCAGAACAATCCTCCCAGTTGTGTGCATGTAGTTTAATGCTGTGTGCAATATACGACTGTTTTTAATGCCACATTCTCTCTGTAAGACGTATAACAGGTTAATCTACCACATCTCATTAACAAGCCCTAGTAAATAAACTCAGTGGACTAATCTTCAGGAAACAATTTAGCTTAGGAACATCCCAGTCATAGGGTGATATTGTTACTGTAAATACATTTCTAAGAACAGTCATCAGGATGTCACAATTCACAATGTTGTTTTACCAGTGACATTGCCTAAGCATGACATCATCAAACCATATGCCTGTATTTTTAAACAGATTAAAAAAAAAAAAAAAAAATTCAAGTAATTTTCACAAACATGTCAATTCAATATTTTGACCAACAGTTGGACATTAATACAGATCTGCTGAATCCTTTGTGCAACTGTAGCCGATCTCATAAATAAACAAAAACTAATCAGGGCAAACCGGCTTTCTTGTACAAAGGCACATTCCCTGACTAAATTATTGACTAATGCTCCATCTTACCCAGTAAGACCTTGTATGGCAAATGTTTTTTTCTTTATACGGCAGTTGCCGTCTTCACAGGCTGCTCGATGCCACCTGTGTTTTTGTTTGGTTGATCCTCTTCATCTTTTTTGATGGATGCCATGGCAGCATTGGCTTGAGCCTTACGGGCTCGGGCTGAAGGGGATCCTGGACTCTCAACATTAATGGCGGGTTTGGACAGCCAATGAAGGATGCTAGTGGAGGGTCGGTGGTGAATAGTGAGTTGGCGAGAGCTGTATCCGGACATTGCAAACCCCAAAGCACCCAGAACAACAGCCAACCTCGGCACTACAAGATCGTGAGCCCTGTAGATCACAGTCTGCACTGCTGACGTCTGAAAGAGAGTGTAAACACATGGTTATATTGTGTGATGAACTGACACACATTACATTTAAGGTCAAATTTAATGCTGCAGTCCAGCATTTTTCCTCTTTGTTGCAATCTGTGTTAGATCAATTTTACGTGAGTTGTACTTCAACACCCTCGTCACGGCACAGCGTGGATGAACACAATGTTTGAGGAGAGTGTGGTATAGGGGTGGTGATGGCGCAGTGGATAAAAACACATGCCTTTGGTGTGAGAGACCCGGGTTCAAATCCACTGTGAGAGACCAATGTGTCCCTGAGCAAGACACTTAGCCCCTAGTTACTCCAGAGGTGTGCGACATCTGACATATATAGCAAAATTAAGTCGCTTTGGATAAAAGAGTCAACTAAATGTAAATGTATTTTGGATAATTTTAAACCCCAAAAAAGCCACAGACTGCAGCTATAGGAACACCTCAACCTGCATGAGTGAATGATGACTCTTTTCCTTTGGTTGTGAAACATTAATTATTTTAATCATAAAACAAATCATAATCATTATGAACACATAAACTGTTATAATTAGATCAAATAGTTCTCTTGTGTAATAATTATTGCAGATTTAAGGCTTAATTTGAGATTATAGTGATTGAAATCACACCATGTGGAATGTTATAAAAATTCTTGAAATATAGAAAACAATTATTCACCCATTACATCAATGTCCAATCAGCTTTATGTTTAGCACTGGAGTTCTGCCCCAGTTCAGGTGTAAATACATGTATAAAACTATAAACATCTACAGATGATTACTTTAGACAGTTTAGCTTTTCAGTTTTTATCCATAACATGCACATCTGGACAGATTAATTTACTTACCTGCAAGTAGCGAATGTATCCTGAAATAGTACGTGGGAGACCAAAAAACATGTCAAGTTAGTCACTAGGCCTCGGAGCTGTTTGTGAGCAGGACTACCTCTTCCTCTGGTTCCTTGTTTCTTTCCTTTCTGACAGAGAGTCTTCACAGAGGATAGAGCTCACTCAGGTGTGGATGTCTTTCACGTCTTCCAGTGATCGTAGCTTATATAGAGTCCCCATCTGTCTGTCTGTCTCTCAATGAGATTAACAAAAGAGGCTATCTCACACTTGACATGCTAGCGATGACGACATCTGCGACAGTACAGGATATGAGGTTAAGTTGTTGTGAAGGACGACAACCTTGTGTTGGCGTGTGTAAAGCCGGAAAGGGCTTTAAAGTCTACTGACACAGGTCAGAGGCGACCCAGTTATCAGAACAAAAACAAAATGAAAAAAAAAACTGAAGAAAAAAGAATCCCAAAAAAATAATATACAAACATGACATAAAACAAACTAATTTTTAAACAAAAGACAACAAACAATCAGATGATCAGATGATTACCATGGTACCGTGTACACCAAGAATACCAATGTATTACAACTGGACAGACAAGAATACCAATGTATTACAATAGTCCTATCAGTATAAACTACTATTGTTGTAAGTAAGATTTGGTTTACAAAAAAAAAAATTATATATATATATATATATATATATATATAATTTATTTGATTTTTTAAATTTCTTTATAAAATCCAGTAAAAACATTAATATGTGAAATATTATTCAAAGTAAAATAACATTTTTTATTTTAATATATTTTATTCTTGTGATGGAAAAGCTGAATTTTCTGCATCATTCAGTCTTCAGGGTCGGATGATCTTTCAGAAAAAAATTCTAATATGTTGATTTGCTGTTAAAGAAACATTTCTATTGTTATTATATTATAAAATAATATTTTTGTTGTTTATATTTCTATGGAAATGTATTTTTGGGGGGATTCTTCGATGAATAGAAAGTTAAAAAAAAAACATTTAACAGCATTTATTTAAAATATAAATCTTTTGTAAAAATGTAAAAGTTTTACAGTTACTTTTGATACATTTAATGCATGGTTAATAAACCCCAAACTTACTGAATGGTGGTGTAGATTCTAGAAACAGTACTGTGTAGAAATGCCACCACTGTGTCTTGCTTATATACCTAGTTAAGTATCTGTTTGTTGCTACACACACCGCAAAGTGAACCTGTCTGGAGTTTTGCCTCAGGGTAGAGAACATAATAAATACAGAATATTCTCTTTCCTAACACAGTCCTGGACCATTTAGCCACACAATGTTATATCAGTCTTTGAGTTGAGGGCCTCACTGGGGACCGACAGTTAAACAAACAGACGTCAGTCAGAGGCAGATCATTTAGTATGTTTACATTAAATAGCTTTTCCGAGGATTTATGACTGGCAGATATTTGCTCCACCTCTTTGCAGTATTGCCTTTCATCTTCTGAGTGGATATGATCTATAATCATAAATAGTTTAATTTACTTTCGTGCCTGAAGCAATACGGCTACGTAATAAACTTAAGTGACTTTTTTTTTAATGATTCTTATTCTCTATTTGTTTATTTATTATTATATTTTTTTTTCAAATGTATGTGCTAAGTGTTTTATGTGAGGCACCATGTAATCTCACGGGGATAAATAAAGCTCTAAACTAAACTAAATCAATAAACTGCGATATTAAAGCTGCAGTGAGCATTTAGTGTGATGATATGCTGCACTTAGTGCTAAAACAAGATGATATTTTGTTCTTTTCAGCTGCTATAATACCACCATCACACCTGCTGTGTCGTCCGCCACATATTCCAGCTGGCATAAGAAAGCATTTCTCAGAGAAACAGAAGGGTTATTATTTCTAAGCATTGTAACCTAATGGGAAGCAATAAAAAACGTATTCTCTGTCTGAGCCAACCCAGACCCATGTGATCCTATAATGGCATCAAAGCCCATTCTGTGTGTTGCCTTGAGTATCGCAGATTAGCACAAACACACATGTGGCTGTCTAGAGATGCTTGTTTAGCTAAAGTCATTCTTCCTTGACGTCATGGATAAGACATTGTATCCGTTTAAATGGATTTTGGTATGTCGTGCACTGCTCTTAATGCAGGTAGGTATATCAAACAATCAATGGAAACAAGGACACATTTGTTTATCTTGTGAATTGAAATAAAACTTTAATATCTTTATAGCTGCACTAAGACATTTTTCTAGTCACACTTATAGTCACAGTGGCTTCTCACGACAATGCCCCAAAGTAGCTAATTAAATGTAAAAAAACAAAACAAAACCCCTTAATGAGGCTTTGTGTTGGTGAAATGAGCAGTCTAGTGAGTAAAAGCTCTAAACAGTCTCTGAGATCATTGAGCTGACGTTCTGATGTTAAAGTAATTAGCTGCTAAGACGCTAAACCACGCATAATGAGCTGTGGAAGACCGGTGATCCAGCGCCACGGTCAATAATAGGCTATGGATAGCAGAAACAGCTGTGAGAGTGTGTTGGTGACTTGCAATAATAATAAAAAAAAAATAGCAGCAGAAAATAATTGTTATTGTGAAGGCAAGATAACTAGAATATATCATGCTGGTTAAGTTATGCAATTTAATCCCGAGTTTCTTGAATTCCTTGACTATAAATCAGACTGACGAGATATTACAATCAGACACCTGCTGGTTATTCACAGTCGCTATCCTCTTAGGCTCTGAATCTGGGGACGTCATGTCTTCTGCTCTCTCTGTATGGGCAAAATCTCTGTCAGCCAATACTCAATAAGAGCACATACCACTGAAACCTCATCTGTAAAACGAGAAAGAGAAAGATCATATAAATATAACATTTGCCCATATTTATGTGTGATCTTATGTTGTTTGCTTAGGTATCATGAATTTATGTTTACTACTGTCTAGATTTGGCTGATATTTTGGAGATTAAAATCACAACAGGACCAATATGGTCAAATCAGGGCTAAATAAAAAAGTACAGCTTTATTTAAATGCACTATTAGATATAGATCCCCATACATTTTTTGGTTAATAGGACATCTCAACATATCTGCAGAGTAACATTAATGGCCTACTATATTAGTGACACCACACGTTTCCATTATAGTAGTTTATATTTGTGGGCATTTTTAGTCTTTTGGCAGTGAAATCAATATTCTTTTGTTTATAACTATTACTATAAAACAAAAACACACACATGCGTGATGTTCACACATGGGAGGTCCAAGCGCTCTCATTCACCTGCAGGCAATGTGCTTGTGTGCCTGAATTCTTGTAGCTGTGATTTTAACTGCTCTTCGTTATTCACCAATAGAGACCCGAGTCCACACAGCCTGGAGATCTCAGCAGGGGGCAGCGTCCTACCAGACAGACGAGAGAACAGAGTCTCAGCTGCAGCAGTGAGGGAGAGAGCATGTCCACTTTCTACACAGGAGCCTAAAAAGAAGAATATCAATTCATTATGTACCTTAATACTTTTATACACACATATACACTGCATCAAAACTAAGTTTTGGATCGGTAAGATTTTTTATGCTTTTGAAAGAAGTGTCTTCTGCTCACCAAGCCTTCATTTATTTGATAACAGTAATATTGGGAAATATTTTTACTTTATTTTTAATATAAAATCATATTTTCTACTTGAATATATCTTAAAATGGAGTTTATTTCTGTGGTGGCAAAGCTGAATTTTCAGTGTCACATAGTCCTTCATTGTAATATGCTGATTTGCTGCAGTGCTCAAGAAACATTTATTCATATTAGCAAAGTTGAAAACAAATTCTAAATTGTTTGATGAATAGAAAGTTCAAAAGAACAGCTTTCATCTCATACAGAAAGCATTTGTAACATAATAAATGTCTTTACTGTCTCTTTTGATCAATTTAATGCATCTTTGCTGAATAGTATTAGTATTATAAAAGTAAAAAAAAAAAAAAAATTCTTACTGACCCTAAACTTTTAAATGGTGCTGTATGTTACAAAAGCTTTCCATTCCAGAAATGGTGTTCTTTTGAACTTTTAAACAAATAAATGCAACCTCAGTGACCGTCAAAGACTCATTTCAAAAACATAAAAAAATCTTGCCAACCACAAATATTGGAATGGTAGTGTTTATTTGTCCTCAACCATAGATATACTAGATGTTGCCTTGGCTACAGCAGTTTATTAGAAAGAATGCGTCAATAGAGCCGCCATCTTGGAACAGGGGACCCCCTCCACTTTAATGCATCAGCGTCAATGTAGGTCTAACGGAAATAAAATCACCATAAATCATCATTAATGCGATTTTCTCGTTTTTTTTGGTTCGTTTCAACAGTCAGACATGTATTTATCATTGATTCCAGGAAAAATAAAATTATTATTATTATTTTTAAAAACATTCTTTCTCGTGTGAACATCATACACAGCACAAAAGATTGCCACCATCAATTCATTTGAAGTAAAGGCAGCGTTACCTAGCTACTTCCTACGACAAGACCCCTGTTCCAAGATGGCGGCAGTTTTGACGCATGCTTAGAACCCCAACGTGACCTCTAGTGTGTATGTCTATGGTCCTCAACATAGAAAAAAGTGATGCTATAGTAAAATGCTATACCAGAGGACTTGCGATCAGACAGGTATATCTCCTGTGTGGTACGAAGGAAGTGGAGCAGCTCCTCTGTATTTCCATGTCCACCCTGTGCATATGTGAACTCAATAGCTCTCACATGAGGCACCAGTCCAAGAGCGATGAGTTTCTCTTTGTGCCGTTTCTTCTTCATCTTTCTCTTTCTGTTTTTGCTGATCCGTTCATTGCTCAATGAGCTTCCAGTGTCCCCTTCATTGCTGGGATGTACAGGATCTGTCTGGCCCTGTATAGTGCCCTCTACTGGAGGGGTGGATACCTTGGCTGAAATAACAGGAGACACTTTTTTCTTTCTCCTCCTTTTCCTCTTCTTATGTAACTCATGCTCATCTGCGTCTGAAAGATCCAAAAATGGCTCATTGGTGAGTGGGATTATGGACTTTCTCACAGTATTAGAATTATTACAAAGGGGTTTTAAATCCGACAAGCATCAGGCTCCATTATCTGGGAAAAGAGGTTTAATGTGACTGATTTGTCATGAACAGATTAAAATAAATACACTATCAAAACTGAATGACATCAGTTACAGCCTCATTACATTTATGCTCTTGGTAGACTCTTTCAAATAAAAAGCATCCTTCAAGAAATGTGCACATGCTGTATAAGAGGCAATTACTAGAGTGGATAGTGCGCGCGCACACACACACACACACTCCTTTGCCCTTTCATGGGTTTTCTGCGAGGCTTTTCAAGCTACTTAGGACTATACAAACACACTGAGTAGTGCTGAGCTATTGATTTTTTTCATCTGTATTCAGAGCAGAGAAACTGACCACACATCTGAGTGACACGCCGCAGGAAGCAAAGATTCAGCTCATCAGCATACAGCTCATACAATGAGACCGGTTTGCAATAAAGAAGGGATGAGGAAAGGCCTCAATAACATGGACAGTATGAGTAAATGTGTGTGTGTGAATGAGAGAGAGCTTGTGAATGAAGTTATTGCTGCTCTGCGGGTCTATTGAGGTCTATTCAGATCAATAGCAGCAAAAAGACAGTAGGATCTACAGAGCTTTTTTAGTGAAAGAGGAAAGAAGTATTGCATGCATACTAAGCCAGCAATACGACACCTGAACTAATAGACTCATGATGGTGGGATGAGTAATGTGTAATAAAAGATGTAACAATGCAACCTTGTATAGAGGAGGTGCTTGGTTTTGTCATTAAATATTTTTATTTATTAAAATGTAATGTCATATAATACAAGTACCACTACCAACAGACCCAAATTCTGTTAACCCTTGATTTGGCTTGTCCTACCTGTATAAATACATCAGGAAGCAGGAAAAAGCATGCATCAATTGGGCCACAATGAAATATCACAAATGATCAGGGCAAATCAAATATCTCAAACGGTCTGATTCCTTTTGTTCTGTGATATTTGTGCAAATTAAGCATAGAATTGACTAATTTTGTGTCTGTGTAGATGATAAATCCAAACTGTTTTCCTGATCAACAAGGATGTTATTTCTGAGGTGTTTCCACTGAATCAAACGATTTGATCATTTGGATCCACAACAGGAGTTGCAAATTAAAATAAACAGAAAAAAAAAATCACCCAATATTTAAAAAACACAATTGATTAGTCTAAATAATTCAAAAGTAAAATATCTATCAGGATATCAAGATACAGCTGCAGACAGGCTAATATAATCTGCAGTGACTAATAATTATTTACAGGGATTACTAGGATCACTTCACAGCAACTAGTGGTATCCATTTCATACTGGAATGTGTGACTGAAAGAGAAATCAAATAAAGGGGAAAAGCGATGGTGGTCTTAACCAAAGAGGTGTATCATTAATAGATAGAACACGGTTTTCACCAACTCACCGACTGGGCTGTTCTCAGAGTCAGTGGAATCTGGATTGGACAGTGTGACAGGATCATCCTCGCTAGTGAGCAGGTAGCCTTGAGGAGGAGGAAGTACAGTGTAGAGCTTTTTGCCTGGTACAGCTGTACTTTTCTCATCACCTAAGAAAGGGAGATGAAAAGGATTATTTTACTGTACAGGATTATAGAGGCAATCACAGTGATCAGAGGAGGGCTCATTCAGCCCATCAGGCAATTGTTTAAGCATGCATGGATTAGAAAAATGGGTATTTTTAACATGAAATGTTGCACGATGGTAGACCAATCACAACAGACTGGGCCCCCTGACCAATCAGAGCAGAGCTGGCTCTCGGAAAGGAATGATTTAGAAAGACCGATTCATGTATCGTACAGGTGATACAAAACAGAATCGGGCACCTTTAAAATAGGATAAAAGGGTCACTTTTTAAAAGTTTAAGGACTTAAGCATTAAGCTAACTCCAACCTGGCTTTTTGAGTGGGTACTGAGGTCTTTCCACAGGTGGCACAGGTACAATGCTCTGCTCTTCAGCAACGGGTTGCAGCACACTCTGCTCTTGGGATGCAGCAGGATACAATCTCTGCAGAACCTTGGACTGGAATACTAACACACACACACAACGTTGTGTTCTTGTGTGTCAACGATGACAACAATAAAAACACGTGCAGAGCACAAGTTCTGTTACACACTGTCATACACTTGTATTCAATGCTCTCTTCTTACCTTCTTTTCTGACAGACATATCAGCGGCTGAGAATCACGAAGACCTTTCTTTCCTCAATCGTAAATAAAACGACACTCCATTACAATTTTTCTGATCGGTGTGTAAACAGTGGCTTTAGATAAAGCGCAAATCAGATCAATCGTCTTTAAGCCATTTAATTTTTGACTATTTTACACATTTTTAGGAATACAGGATTTAACATGAAAGGAATATAAACAATGAGCGGTAAAATCGCACACATATGTCATAAAACAGTAAAGAAAGTATAGTCAGTTCTCTGTGTTGTCGTGTTTCCGACCTCACCATGATGGCGCCTGAACGTACAGCGTCCGGAACTGCTCCCTCCAGCGGCGTGGATAAGCGCTACATCACCTCCAGGGGACCGCCGCATCTGCACCTGATCTGCACCCGCGGGGCGGCGACTGCTATGCATGCACTCTGAAAACTTCGCTGCATCCTCACCACCATGTAGCCGCAAGCTCAACGAATACCTAGAATGTCAAGGTGGAAGAAGGTACGTTCAGCAATTTCTGCATGCTTGTTTTTTGAAAGGCGGAGAAGAAAACAAAAAAGTCCACTCTACTCTAACGAGCTTGTGTGCGGCGGCGCGCGAGATGCAGAGCTCAGCATTACATCACTTACCTGACGAGAGAAGGCGTGACATTTTCACCTGTCGGATTCAACAAATATTTTGCTAATTTAGGTTTGTTGTCAATTTTATTAAGCCTTTTATTTTATTTTAATTCCGAAAATTACTCCAGTTTGCTCAGAATGTTCATCCTTGAATATTGATATTGATTTGTAAACAACTTCTTCCCGTTTCTGTGTAGCTTAACTGGGTGTGGGTCAACTGGAGTGCAATTTTCAAAACGGATAATTATCCATCTTATTATGAATGTAAGCTTAAATAATCTCAAATAATAATTTTTCTAGTTCATGTAAACATTCAGTGTTATGCAATTTACAGTCACCCAATATTAGATTATAGTTACATCCACTTATAAATGTAAACTTTTTAAGAATCGGTAATTAAAACAATGGGCTCTATGCACAGCTGCACTACTTCCTGAACTTCAGCCAGCTTATTGTTTCCTGTCTGCCATCATTGGACAATTTGATTAATTCAGGTGTGTCTGACTTAAGTAGTCACAGCAACAATAATCAGACACAGACAGGAAACAAGGAGCTGGCTGAAGTTCAGGAAGTATCAGCCCATTACGTTGATCTACCACTAATCTGAATATTTAGGGTGACAGTGGGACATCCCCTTTCTTAATGTTGGAAAGATATTAAGTTGTAAATCACTAAAGAAAGACACACTCTATCACATTGTTTAATGAGTGATTAGAATTGTGGATTTTTTGGAAGTATATGACCAACATAATAATTTTCACTGAAAAATGTCATCTGAACAAGTAAGAAACATCCACGTTTGTTCTCATTCTGACATTGCAGACAGTAAATCGCGCTGATTGAATCTAACAATCTCTTATAAGTTATCATATCACGCAAAACCGAGCAAATTATACTTTGTTCCCAAATTGTTAATGTTAGCAATGTCAGCATTGCGTGACTACTTGTAATGTCCTTCCGATATGTAAGTTAATGTTATTCTTGTTTTTGCATGGGCCCGGTTTCAGTCTCTTCTTTCTGTAGCCACTCCGAAGTCCGAACGAAGTCTTTAGCATTTTACAGCGTGTGAATCTTTTGTCACTGGTGATTGTCATTTGAACCTTTCTGGATCCGCCATGAAAAACTGATAAGTTTAATTATCTCAAGTGCTGTGAGAAAAGTCTATAAATCTCCACCTCCAACAACATCCAGCAAAGACAGGCTCGAATTTCCCGCCGAAATCCACCAGTACCACTGGAATTAAAAACATTACAAGCTTCCCGCTTTGAATCGAGCTAAAGCAAGCAGATAGTTTTGAACACTTATACTGGTTATGTATTTTCTCAAATATGTAGGCTATTTTGGATATTTTTTTACAAAAAAAAACAACAACAACAAAAAAACAACAACTAAAAAGCATGTTTCAGCTGTTTTAACTGAAGACACATGTACAGGCATATCTTAAAATATGTCATTGCCTTTGTTTTTTTCTCTCAAGATGCACACCAGCAATGTTCATTTCTAAGACACGTTTACAAAAGCTACTTAATTGTCGTCGTCTCTGAAACCAGGCCTAAGAATCTTTTGCACATCTCAAAATGAATATCAAATCTGTACATGTGTTATGATGCCTAAATTCACTTGTAGCATTTAAAACAGTTGATTTTAGTTTATAATATATATATATTTTTTATTTGTTTATAAAAAAATAGCGTAGCATTTGATTACGGGGGAATTTATTGGTTATATCAGGCATAATATAGGCTAATTATTCAATATCAGGTCATCCCTGATACAATGTTGCAAATAAGAAAAACTACCATTTGTGGTCACCCAAAATGGCATTCACACCTCACTCCAGTAAATTGATGCTGTTAGGATAACAATGGAAGTCTGTGTCTGTGTACCTTTTGCTTGAAAATCTTCAAATGTGTGTGTGTGACTGCGATAGAGCAAATTTGACAAAATATGCATCTATTATCTAAGCTGTTCTCTAAAATGACTCTAAGATGCCCATTTTAAACATATTACATAAGCCAGCAGCAGATGCAGTACAAAGCTTCCCAGATGCAGCTGTCTGTCAATGTAAGTGCGGGGTGCTGCATTCATTTGCAGTTTCAAACACCAGCTCTACAGAAATAACTCAGACGGGCAGAATCAGCCTTCTCTGTATCTTACACTTATGCTGATAGACAGCACATTTAACTGAGGATCTGAAGGGTTCGTTGGCCCATGCTGAGAGTTTATTAAAGCTTCTTATATAGCTGCTTTACCTGTAAATATCTCTAAAAAATCATTTATTCAGTTCAGTGACTCAGAATACTCAGAATAGGTTGAAGACAGGTGTGGAATTTTGTTCTACCTGCTATGCCAATATTAGCATTTGTTTATCATATCCCTATAGTTTAATATTAGTATTTGTATTATTGTTCAGGATAATTAAAGGGTTCAGTCCGATATTGGAAGCAAATAATATTATGTCATTTTTCCCCCAATTCCCAGTATGTTGTTTTTCTCTGTTGGGTTTCAAAAGTATAGGTGTCAGTCCAACATTTATAGAGCTGTACGATTAATCGTTAAAAGATTGGGATTCCTACAGTAAATCAAATCAAAAGTATAGGTGTCTTTTGATTTGATTTGAATCGAGCTAAAGCAAGCAGATAGTTTTGAATAGAAAATGTAAATATAAAAAATGTTTTTATTAAGTGACTCTTTGGAATGCTTAATACTTTTTTGTCGATCACAACTTTCTGCGAACAGATGATTATGAGCACTAAACTAGCTATTTAACCATACTACATCCCTACTAGTTACAGTGTATGATGTGGATCATGATGCAGGTTCCTCTGTTGTTCTTTTCCCATAAATATTTCGCCTTTTGAATAAAACACTCCATGGGATTGCCTTTATTTTCAGCTCATATCTGGTAAAGCGTGATATGACAGGAGAACTCATGGACATCAAGCCACAAGAAGCTTTTCGTGTCTCGCATGTGTGCTTGTGTCATCAGCTTAACGGCAGCTACAGTATTATTTCTTTGTCTTCTCCCATTTATAATGCAGGCATGTGTAAGTGCTTCTGTGGAAGCTCTGCTGCATGGCAAGATAAGTATAGGAAACGACGAGAGGATGGCACAAAAATTAATGAGTGAAAAAAATGAATGAATTAATGAGGCAGGGTCAGAAATATGTTTTCCATGCTTTCCAGGGACCCCAAGAAAAATGTATACAGTGAAGAATCAGATTGACATTACCAGTATATACGAATGTTCAATATATTGGTTGCATATGAGGTAATTGTTGATGCTAAAAAAGTTTTTTATTCATTTTTACATTAAGATTATTTAGTTCATCCCCCAACAGTCACTAAAATGCTACTAATTTAATGCAAATTGTAAACAGTAATATCTGCATACCAGTGTTTTTATATTGTTAATTAAAACTAATCAAAATATTTTTTTTGTTAATTGAAATAAAGTTGAACTAAAATATAAGATGCAAACTCGAATTTAAAAAAATAGAAATGTTGCCGTGGCCTCTAAGTAAAATAAAAATATGTTTAAATTAAAGTACAAAAATGATTAACTTAAAATTTTTTTAAAAAAGACATTTAAAAAAATAAGTATATAATAGTATATTATAATAAAAATAGGTTTTAGATACTTACTAAAAGAAAATGAAGGCACAATATAGGCTAATTTAAAAATGACTATACTTATTTTTACATTTACATGATTGGAGTACCGAAAACTAAAAACCGTAACAGAACACAAGAGTTCTTCACAACTTCTCACCCTTTCTGTGGTTGTTGACCTTATCATCTCTGACTGTAGGTTCAAATGCCACAGCATGAAACATTTCTCCAGAAAACACTGTAATTAGTACTGCTGTCTCAGAGCTACGCCTTACTCCGATTACTCTGGGAATTAAGAGGTGTCTGAAAAACAGTGAGTTCTGAGAATGCACACACACATGCACACAGAGAGTATATCTGCTTGTGCGGCACAGTGTTTTTTCCCCTTGATTGTGACAGTTGGAGCTATTTAGTAATTTAGAGAGCTGCGATTAGACACACTGATTATATACACACTGATTAAGCACACCGTAAGTGTACACACACTGATTACACAGAGATTTCACACATGCTCTACCATGAGCCAGCTGGTGTCCTGTGGTAAGAGGGTCAGCTAGGGCAATGATTATTGGAGAGATGGAATCTCTATCACACTATATATTTCATATATTGTATGTTTGATATATCAGATTGTAGCCAGATGTATGTTTGATTTATGAATGAGAAATCAAGTTTAGATTTTTTCAAGATATAGTTTTTCTTTAGATGACATGCACACAAACCATATTGATTGTGACACTAGACACATAACATAAAACTGTTCAAGTTGTATGCATAAAGTGGTAAGAATTGATTGAGTGCGATTCTTATGGGGCCTTTGCAAAGCATTTTATCTGTCACTTTTCTTGAAGAATTTGTTAAATTATGCTGTAAAAGTGGTTAAAGACTTTGGAGACTGTGAGGCAAATGCTCCACACATACTAAAAAGAGAAAAGTCTCATTTGAAAGTGTTTACAGCTGATAATATTAGTTTAAGTGAACAGAACTGATTACTATTTTACTCTTTAGTTTCTCCACAGTACAAATATGTAATGAAATAACATAAAACTAATAACAGTATTTATCTTGGAGTAAATGTACTTGTTTTAGTGGTGTTCATTTGGAAGAGAGGCAGAGAGATTAATCCACAGTATGAACTTTTTATGATTTATTTAAAATTTGGAAAAAGAATAACATATTGCTTGTATCTTCTCTGATAATTGTGACCCGGCAACAATTATTACCATATTTTTTGATTGTTTCCATAATATCATTTTTATCCACCATAGACTTGCAAATAACAATTAGCAAAACCTTGTCTGAAAAATTGCAGACGGCAACAGTTACTAAGGTAGGATTGATCAGTAACGTTTTTAAGGCAGGGCTTAGCAAAAAGGGTTCATATATATATACATGCATGCTGACTTATGAAAATTTTGTATTGCATATTTACCTCACACACATAAGTGCTTTAGTATAAGATAGTTGCTTTTGCAGTTGGAGTAAGCAGCATTGAAGAATAATGACATATAGGCCAATGCTGTTTACGGTAACCACTTTTTTTCCGCTGTGCTAAAAATGGATCATTGTTATTAGAATATATATTTTTTTATTTTCTTATTATTGAATACTTAAACTCACTCTTTGAGTCCAGAATAGATTATATCAGTGACATCTGCTGACTGTCTCAAATGGTTAAATGAGTTTTAATTGGCTTTTTTTTTTTTGCTGGGTGAACTCCGATGCGTAATCTTATCTGAGATGAGTGGAAAACCCTTGGGTTTATGAGTCTCTCTTTTTTTGTACTCTTTTCTCTTTATCCTCGTCACAGGCGACTAAGCAGAACATTGAACGTGACAGTGCACTTTAGTTTGGGCAGAAAAATGAGTTCTGGGATGCCAGCTCCTCGGTGTCAGTTCCCGTGCACTGGGAGTTCAGGGAAGAGCAGAGGTTCATTAATTCTAAAGAAAACAGTCAATTTCATTTTGTGCAGTATGATGCCGGTGGAGGTACCCACACGTCACCAACCTCTTTTCTTCATTGCTTGGCTGTTTCTGTGAGAGCTTGAGTTGCTGTGTTGATAAAGTTAACAACATCTTTGGCCTATAGCTGAGATTTTCTGAATCTTCTTCTTCTTTTTCTCCTGAAAACCTCTCTCAAAACCAAAAATTATATCTTTAACATTCGGTTTGCAGTTGATCTGTGATCAGTAAGGACCAGTCCCCACGGTTTGGCACGCATGTGATTTGCGTATTAATTGCTAAGTTTAAAGTGAAAGTTAATCATTTGCACATCTTGACAATTTACTCAAGCGATTTAAGTAAAAGATAACGAACACCGATTTGATTCCCCTTTAATGTCTCATCATGGCGCTTGAACTGATATTTTAACATACTTTTGTATGTTTCCGTCTCGGCAAGTATTCTTATAAACACAGGCAGGGGTCTTAAGGCAGGGGTCAAAATATTGGAGTAAGTGCAAGGCCATATTGGTCAATATCAGCAGAGCCCCTGTTTGTCCTTTTGCAAGGACTGGTTGGCAGTTCTCTGATTTGCTTTGAGTTTGATGTGACTGGTGTGCTTTAGTTCAGGATGCAGTTTGTGAAGTCTGTGCAGGGGAACCTTGGAATTGCTCTTGCGTGAAATTTCTCTCTCTCTTTCCTCTCCCTTTCAATTTCAGTTCTCTCTCTGATGGCTCATCTGAATTGCAAGCGCAGGTTCCACAGCTTGATTAGGATTCTGAGGATGTAGTCTAGACTAGAGAATGCAGAATTTGGATTGAGAGCTAGAACTTTGAAGTTAAGCTGAGTCTTCTTTGAGTTCACCTGAGATTCGGTTTAACTGCATTTCAGAGTGGTTTATTGCAGGCTGCGTTTAACTCCACTTTTAGACATACTCGCGCAAACTTCTAACTTCCCCTTGGGTGAATCCCGACCACTATTTTGAAGTGCATTCAACTTCGCTGTGGACGAGAAGTTTATTTAGACAGACCCTCGACGAACTATGAAAGGTCCGCGAGCCGGAACTTAAACCCGGGTTGGCCGAAGTGCAACGGTGCTATATGTCGGTGCTGCCCACAAGGCTATTAGAACATTAGGTTACATGTTTTGCTATTAAACTTATATTTAGATATTATGAAATTCCTGTTATAAAATAGCAAATCAAGAAATTAAATTTTGTGAAAGATTAGCAGTCTTTGTATTTAAGTATGAAGAAAGTCTCATGAAAAACAAAAACTTCTTAAAATTGCAAAGAATTACAAAGAAAGCAAGTAATGAGCGTACTTGTTATAATCAATGAATCTGTATGTCAGTTCAGCATGATACTATAGAAGAACAATGGTATATTTAATAAGAGTAGAATATTAAAATGTTTGCCTGTAAAACTTGGTTGTTGTTAAGTAATTTTTATCTGCATCTCAACTCAAGCTCAGTGCTTTACTGTCAAATGTGCATTTCCAAGAAATAAACACAAACATTTACAGCCAATCCGAATCCACCTGTTAAAAAAAGCTCAATCATTTAAAGTGACAGGCAACTGAACTGCAGTTGTTCTTGGAGGGAATTGGCCAGAGAATCAGAGTGAAGTGAACACTAGTTTATTAAATACAATGTGAAGGCATGAAGACATTCAGAATAACTGAACTGAGAAAATCCCAATTGTGGTTTACTTACCCCTTACTCCTGACTTCAAAATCCACGCTGTGTGTTGCATATCCTGCAACCGATTGGTAAATGAATTGACTCTGTTCTAATCGGATTCCTCATTTAGCTTATTTCATCAATGTTAAGCCGTTTTCTAAAGCTTCCTCTGATGAGCTAAATACAATTCATGTAAGATGGAAAACATTTATTTCGGGAATGATTGTGAAACTAATATTTTTCCCTTTTCTTCCATCCACACTGCACACATTTAATTTCATTCTCTTTAATACAAACAACACAAAACCCAACAGTCCTGTCTACTTGATTTAATCTCTGCCATCACAAGTGATAATTTTCCGGCTGATTGGTTAATAATTCACTCTTTTGTGTGTTGTTTACTGTAGAGTGTCTGAGAAACTGAATCGTCAGATGCATCGTGAATGCATGACCAAAAACTATTCTATTCTATTCTATTCTATTCTATTCTATTCTATTCTATTCTATTCTATTCTATTCTATTCTATTCTATTCTATTCTATTCTATTCTTTATGATGTGTGAATTTTGTTGTTGTGAATGCTGCTTATCATTTAATGTCACCAAGTTAACATTTTCTACCTAACAAGTTTTTTGAAATTGTGAAAATGGATTATGATACATTATAATGCTAAGACACTTAGTATCTTCAACAATTGAGCAAAGAAATGAAACTCTAGAAATGAAACCGGATGTCGTACTAGTATCTCAATTGTACTACTGTGTGTGTGTGTGTGTGAGTCTGACTGATAAAAAGTCTAGTGCCAAAGCCACCCAGCCACTAGATGGCAGCATCATTCCTATATCCTTTAAGAGGGTAAATTTGTTCTGCTGTGACTGACTGCTATGAAATGCTGTTAAATTGAGATTGATTTCTGGTTTTATATGTTTAATTCAGTATAACCATAAAATATGAGCAGCATAAATGGCTCAGAGTGTGAAGGATACTCTGATCTGGAACTTTTCAAAGTTGCATTCTGTGTTTCTGTTTAGAGAGCAAAATCATAAAAAACTATGTGAAAAAGAAAATGTAATTCCATGTTATTAGCTCATTTTAAAACTTCCAAGCTTCATCTGAACATGATTACTATTGAACAAAATACTGCTATTTGCAGTTTACTTGTAATTGTGGCCTTGAAGAGACACAAATACCATGTGAGCCTCCAAAAACACCTGGTAGTGTGAAAGAAAGCTGGATTTACATGGGAATTACTGAACAAAAATGAGGCTGAGTTACATCTGAGTCAGCATGAATGTAAAAACCCAATTTATTACTGTATCCTAATACTCTAACACACTTTTCTCATCTTGTGTACTTGTCGAGGGTGTCGAATTGGAGGATTTTGTGTGTAGAGTGGCCTCTGTTTTCTCTCAGTGAACACATTTGTGCTGTAATCTCCTGTTTTGGCTTCATTCTTCACTAACATCCATGTAAAGACATCCTTGTTATAAAATGTTTCACCCACACAGCCGTCCCTGCCACACACACACACACACACACACACACAGAAGGGAAACCGCCACTTAATGCTTTCTAGACCTGACAGCTTCTGCCTGTAATTAATGGCTGTTTAGACTGAATGTCCCTTCATGCATGCTTGTTCTAATTTTCTTTTTTTTATTTCTACATTTCTTTCTCTCCTTCCCAGGTGCTGCTGAGCATAGTGCAACAACACTGCTGTATCCTCCCAGACAGGAACACAGGTAAAACCATACACCTGTCATTCAAATGCAATGCTGTGTTTAGGCCCAGAGCCAGATGCGCTTCCGCTAACGGTGTTCGACCTAGATGTTGATCTACCAGTTTGTGTGTGTTTTTGACGTGATTGATTGGGCAGGTAGATTTACTGAGGTACTCGCTGTGCGCTGCGACTCTGACTCGGCTAGTGTCGGTCTTCTGATGTAGATCCAGCTTCGCATATGAGTCAAAATAGACCCAAAAAACTGTCTTTTGGGGTTTGAAAATCAACATTTGCAGCAAAACCTGGAACAAAATTGATTTTGAGTAAGGGTTAGTGGAGGGAAGAACCTAATTGGATGACTCAGTGTGTATGGATTGTACCTGTGCGTCTTGCACTTACAGTTTCATCCATTTAATTGTAACCATTTACACTAATTTTAGATAATTAAGCCCAGCATTTGTGAATGTACTTGGGAGTATAAAGTACTAGGAGTCCTGGAGGACTTTAAAAGCTAAAATTAAACGCATTTATTATTGTACATCAATGTTGATCTTATAATAGGCAATTTAAAAAAAAAAAATTAGATTATCATTTTGTGTTTCCCTAATTGTCATGCTGTTGTACACTTTTGATCTTTAAGTGTGTACTATTCTTCTTTATTATTCTTCCAGTAAACATATAGAAACTAAAATTGTAGTATTTTATTAAAACTAAAATTATAGTATTTTATTTTATTAATTATAATATTTTATTGCGAAGCAAAATAACATACAATTTTATAAAGTATTTTCATTTTTGTTTGCAATTTGCAGAAAAGTGTAATTTTTCGTTTCATACATAAAACAGCACTAAAGTACTGATTAAGAAAATTATTTGTAAATAACTTGAAGTGTGTACCTTTGTGTAATGAGGGAATCTAGTAGTGGTCTTTAGGGTGATTGTAGTGTGTTTATGTGTTTTTTAAAGTGTGTGTCCTGTGTAGTACAACGTTTTCTGTTGTAGTAGGGTATGAGTTAATCTAAAATGTTTATACAGTAATTAGTTGTATTTAAAATAATAAGTCAATGATATGCCCCATTTAGATAGCTAAAGTGTACAGTGCGTGTGGTTATAAGTCAGGTTTATTGCAGGATAATCCACATGGTGGATGTTCACATAACTGTCTCCATAAATATTAAGATTAAGATGCCAGGTGTTGGTTTAAAAAACGTTTCATGGCATGTAGACCTTCAGTTTTTGCATTATAAAAGTCTTAAAAATGCAGCAATTATTCACTGCCTCCATTGGGCATTTTGTATTAAACCATTGTGCCAAGTTTGGAAGTTGGGGGGTTTTATTCCCAGTGGATGTTCTGTAGAGTTTGAATGAATTGGTGGTATTGCATCAATGCTGTGACCATGGTTTTATCCTGTTTCTATGGAGACAATGTAGACCATGTCAGTATAGGTTTACTATCATTTTATATCCGTCCGAAAGCCATTTTACCTAATGCATCTGAAGCATTCACAGGCATCAGCCAATTTACATTTTAAATTTCAGGTTTGGCCTTTGCTTTGGAGCTGATCTCAACTCCAGGCATTGAAGGTGGCCACCACAGATTTTCCCCTCATTATGCAAATTGATGTCACTGATTTCTCCTCTCTCTCAGCTTTGTATAGACCTGTTGTAAGGCAGAAAGCTGCATCTGTGAGTACAAAAACACTCTCTGCGACATAAAGGGAGAGGCAGATGTTTAGGCTATATGTAGCAGCTTTTGATGACGAAGAAGACAACACACTTGCTTCTGGCAATGTGCTAACAATACAGAAATATCATGAATTCAAGAATCAGTGAGTAAGTTTCAGTTATAAATGTGCTGTAAGGCAGAAAATGATTTTTTTCCCTGACAGCTAACAACAGCCACCCACACAGCTCTTCTGGTTCTGCTATAGCTACGGGAGGCTGTGATAGTCAGCTACAGAATCATGTCATGAGGAGTGACACGTAAACACTTTACAGTGGCGTGTGGTGGACTTCTTGAATGAAGAGGCAAAGCCTCCTTTTCCCCAGTGTACAATGCACAGTTTCTTGTGCTAAAAGCCTATGGGGCACCTTATATCTTAAATTTTTAGCAAGAATACAGTACCATGACATTTTATTTACAGTAAGTACATAGTACATACTACTATTCTTTAAATCAGTTCACATTAATGTCTCATCTATTTTTTATTTATTTATAGATTTATTGATACATTTACATTACATTTAGTCATTTAGCAGACGCTTTTATCCAAAGCGACTTACAACTGTGGACTAAACCAAGCGAGTCATCGTGAAGAGGCAAAAACAACGCAAGTGCTCAAAATACAAAGTTCAACTTCAGACATTGCACGGGGTAGCATAAGCCAGATGAGCAGGGATTTAAAAGAAAAGGATTTTTTTTATGTAAAAATATGAAAAGGACATTGATAAAAATATAGATAGCTTAAATATTGATAGTACAGCTATATAGTATTTAATAAAAAACATTGTTTAGAAGCTTTTACCAAGCATACTGCTTTTGTATTTTTTGTTATTATTATTAAATTATTAATTTCACTGCAACGTGATATTGTCCTAAAGTGTATGAGTGTGTATCGCCTGCAGAAACACTGCATCCGTAGGGGCTGCCATTGTTGTTTTGGGAGTACATGGATCTAGTACGAAGTCACGGGTTGGACTGCCGTTCCAGTGCACTTTCATTGGTATAAAGTTGGAAAAACACTGGTTACAGGTTGCCTGGAATGCGGCATTATATTCTGTCATCTTCCTTTTGGAAGTTCCATTGGAATTTTCCCGCACGTTAATTCTGGCCAACGATTGATGTGGATGTTGTCATATGACTATATTTTGGTTCGTTTCATCCACTCATCAACTGATTCAGGCCAGAGCAATCAGTGTGGTGTAAAAACGAACCAAAACCCCTGAAAATGCTACAAAGTATAATTTTTCACCCTTGGTCCGGACCAAATGAACCAAACTAAGATAAAGTGATTTATATGGCTACTACTCAGTCTCATATTTTATTACATTCCTTTTGTTTTTATTGTTTTATTATGATTTTCTTATCCACATTTTTCTTAGTGAAAAAACACCTGCTTTAAACACTTATTTGTTCCTGGCTGTTTGACTCCATCATTGTCTCATTTGTTCTTGAAACACATTGTACGCCTACGGCTCCTTCATACTAGTAAATGATTTAGGGTGTGTGTGTGTGGTGCATACTCTTAATAACCACGTTAATATTTCAGCATTACTTTCCACTGCTTTCACTGTTGGTGGTTTGGAAGAAGTCAAGCAAAATTTCTTGTTGAAAGAGTTGCTATCGTTAAATAACAGAATTACCATTTGCTCTTGTGAATGACTTTCTTGTTTATGCTAATGTTTTGATTAGTCTGCAGAGGTGCAAAGTTTTTTTTGGGAATTGCTGATGTTCCACAAAACTTTTTGTGTGGCTCTGCTTTGCATTCTTAGAAGAGTGTTTGTATTGATTTTTCAGTCCCTGTAGGGGTTATGTGCTCTCTCTCTCTCTCTCTCTCTCTCTCTCTCTCTCTCTCTCTCTCTCTCTCTCTCTCTCTCTCTCTCTCTCTCTCTCTCTCTCTCTCTCTCTCTCTCTCTCTCTCTCTCTCTCTCTTTCTGTTTGATAAAAGATTGTAGTCGACAGAGAAAACCCTCCTCTTGCTTCCTCTCCCCTCTATGTCATGGTCATTCAGATTAGAAGACATTTTAACACTATGTGTTAGTGTTTCATCAGCATGTAGTGGGAGTCCTGCTAATGAAAATTGCTATATAGAAACAAATTTGTCCTGTATATAATGGCCAAGGTCTTTTTACCCCCCAGTAAAGGCATTCTTGAAATGCATCCAAAGTAGGACAGGATTATAAAAATGGATATTCACAGTATATTTACATAAAAAAATGAAGCAACATTGGGAATATTGTGATGATTTTAACATACTTTTTATTTAGACATTCAATTTTGTTAAATACACGCCATTTCAGTTTTGACTGCAGCTGGTCATCCAGAACAATAAACTTTTCTCTTTGTTTGAATGAAGCGTCCAGAGATTGTTGATTCTGGCGCGGCTCATCTTTCTCAGCACTTGCTATCATGTTCTGATTTCAAATGCTTTATTAAGTGTTGAAGCTGCTAATCTTGTGCCACCCCTCGCAATTGCACTATGGCATTTGAGACATGTCACCGTTTTACTGGCTGGTTGGTCCAGTCTTAAATACTGCCTAACAGCGGACATACTGCTAGCGCGCGCTTTCTTCTTCATTGCTCTAAACAGTGGTTGCTTGTGGCAACAGCACAAGTTCCTGTGTTGCCACAAGCAACCACTGTTTAGAGCAGTGAAGAAGAATTGATCTCCGATTTGCAGCGTCAAGTAAAGGTAGTTTGCAAAAAAAAAAAAAAAATCGCAAGAGCAACAAGAGATTTGGAGCTTATGGCAGACGCACCCAAGATGATTTGCGCTGTGATTGGCTGAATGTTAGTTCACTCAAGTCTAAGTAACAAATCAGAGAATTCCCATTTGTGTACTGTTACCTGAGCACCCCTGTTGAGAGATGGAGATTTCTGATTGGTTATAAAAAAACTCTGTTGTTTTGAGATCTGTTTAACTCCCAGAAGAAGGCATGTAGCCGAAACGCGTTGGAGTTTTTTAGATGGTTGATTTGACCAGGCCATGGTAATAAAGGCTTTTTAACTTTCCTACTTGAGAGTGCCTTGGAGTTCTCTTGCTTTTTCGTCATATTCAGTTTCCCATCCAAAGAGCACCTCTATTTTAACCAAACTTTGAAATCCAGGAAGCGCTCCTTTACCCCTACTGTTTGCTAACAAATCAGAGAACACGGGCGGAAATAGTGGCGCAGGGGACAGAATCACCTGTTCCTAAAAGTGCGATTGCATCATTCCCCCCATTTGCTACGCCCCTGCATATACGTCAAATCAATAATTAATTCAGTGTGTTGTTGATTAAATGTTTAGCCAACTTACAAAAG